CTCTCCAACTAGACCATAAATCCCTAGACTGTGTTCTCTCAAGATGGTAAATATGTAACATGTTTGCTCCTACTGCTGAAGCCTTAAGAGCTCAAACAACTTTAGTTATAAAGCCTATTTTTTAGATTGTTTCTGATTTACTAAAAGATAATTTAACGTTTTTACATTGAAAGCAACAGTATCAATTAATCAATAAATATAAGAAGCTGGTACACTCTTATTAATGAGAGCACAATGAAATGGAATCAGAAGAATGAAATTATAAAAATTCCTGGCAGTTCATTTTAGCTAGAAAGAAAATCTCCTCTCAAATTGAACAGATTCATTGATTTTTAGCTCTTAAAAAGGCATTAAGTTTACTTCAATCTAGTCTTGCATCAACATATAAACTAGGTCCTAAATATAGTATCAGTTAATAAGGTAGTCTGACATTTATTGATCTATATAAAAATCAAAATATGGTTTTCTATTTCCTAAGAGAAAATATGTATGTAGAAAATACGTTTAAAAAGAAGCTGCTAAAGTCCAATAATTTCTAATCAGTCTGATTCTTCACTTCTTCCTCTCGAACAACGTTCTCCAAAAGCTGTGGAAGATAGAATATGTTCAGATGGTGTGTCTGTGTGTGTTAAAAGAAGGGAGTAAGTTTGTCTCCATCTTTTGTAGTTCCCAGTCCCACACTCTAGTCTTTTATCGAGGAGTGGTAAACTTAACTAATACAAATTCTCCAAAGCTAAAGCAGAAGATATATGTGTTCTATACTCTTCTGGGTTTGTTCCTAATCACCAACCCCATCTCCTCTCCTTAGCACTCCTTGCCCATCACCCAAATCACCAAAAGCCCAGAAATTCAATAAAACAGTAAACAATCTCTCTGAAAGGTACCTTCCTGGTTTTGTCTAAAACAAATGCAGTCTTCTGTTTCGTCATTTAAAACACCACAAGCATTCTTACTTAGATTAAATCATGGGTCTCCCTGGTCTCCAGGCATGCCTAGACATGAACCATAAAGGGAATGAGTTCCTTGGAGTTTCTGTAGTAACTACAGGCCAAATCAACAGCAACCCTAAGAACAAGCATTCTTTAAAAAACAAAAAACACACACACAGGACAAGGCCACACAAATTTTTTTTCTCGTTATTTTCCTTTTTTTAGTGGCACTACCCGCAAAATAGACTGTATTTAAAAAAATAGATTTCTGGAGGCAATGCATCTTGATGACTTTTACATACGTTTTCTTTATTTTTTAAATTGCCTTTGAAGAAAAGCTCTAAAAATATAAATTTCAAGGCATCTACTGCAACCACTACCTTGGAGGGCAGCAATCCAGCTCGGGTAAGAAATGTAAAATGCAACTAATAATCATAAAATGTCAATCAGGAAGAGGTGTTTAATATTGTATTGGGGACAGTGACTAACAATTTGAAAAAACAGAATTGTTTTTATAATTATGTCCTAACCAAAACCTGTAAGTCTGCATATTGATAATGGAATGGAAGCTATTTCACTCCTGCATTTATGTATGTATGTCTATTTAGCTATAAAATACAAATTTGGTTCAACAGTTACCTCTAGAGAACTCGCAGCTTACCTAGCTCCAATTCCAGCATATTGCCCAGTATGGCTTGGTATACTGTACGTGTTAAAGAAATGTGAGGGATGTATGTGGTGTGTTCTACAACATTGTGCTTCTCCCAAAGATAAGATGAATACAAAAAAATAGTTATAAATGACACATCTTTTGCAATTTGACTTTACAAGTTAATCTTGAGAATTAATGTTTACTGTACATTTTATACTTTGATTTCTTACTCTTCACTTTGGTGTTCTCAGGACACATGATGCATGTGGCAAAAGAATGTGCTGTCTTTCATAGTGAAAGACAATGCTGTAACTCAAACTCATCCTTGGGAAGTTCTTCTGGTGGTTTAATAGGGTGAGCTCGGAATTTGTCTTGAATGATCTAGATTACTGGCCCCTAATTCACGATACTAGTGGCACATAGGAAACCATTTCCTGGGTTTAGGGAACCAATCTCTAGCTGGGAAGTTTTCTTCTGGGGAAAATAATCTAGAACTAAGCTTTTGGGGTCAACAATGAGTGCTCTATACCGGATGCATGAAGACCATACTGAAGGGCTACTTCCAGCTGAGTTCCACAAAGTGTAGAATTAGAATATTCTTTATCCTTTCCTGATGCATTCATTGAAGGAAAAGAGGGGAAGGAGTAACTCAAGGAAAGAAGTATTAGTAGAGGTCTCCCAGAAATTCTCTGTAACTGTCCTCTTTTGTTCAATCTAGTCCGAACACACACATAAATACATCTACATCATCAGATGTGGAATTGTGAGAAGAAAATGTAAATGGTCACAAGACATTGTTTCTCTGGCCTCCCCAGCCCTCATCCTGAATATCCCAATTTAGTCTTGCTTGGAGGACCCATTGGAATCTGGCACCTTCTATGTGCCTTCCCTGACAATTACAGTCCGCATTGATGCCCCACCCCACCCTCTTATATTTCTCCCCAGTTTAACAATTTATTATATACTGTCTTGAGTGGTAGATAATGTGTGTTCACACTGTGTAACCACCTAGATTATACATATGGAGGGTAGAATGAATGACCTTAGGTGCTGAACATACAGCAGGTATTTAAGTATATGAGGACCAAGCTTTGATCTAACTCTTGAGCCCACTCACTATTTGATGAAAAGAGCCAACCCTCCACCTCTTTCCATGGCCCTCCAAGAGTGTAAGAGAAACCTAAGAGGAAGGCGAGTACAGATGGGACTCTCTAAGGCAGTTGTCCCACATGCCAGAGGCCACCGAGGCCTATCTCCCTTTGGAAAATTAGAGTCTACAGTTTGGTACCAAGCCAAGCTGTTTTCCCTGACAAAGATGGGCATGAAAACTGGGTGGGCGTGTGGGGCTTCTTGGGGAGTGGTAGGGGAGAAGGAGCTCTTGGTCCCTCCTGCCCTATCAGGAAGAGAAACTTCTCAGGAATCTGTGCCTCAGTCCCCAGGGCCTCTTTCCTGCAGGGACCCACCTCCGGCCCCAGCTCTTGGCTTCCTCCCCTCCCCCACCCCGCCCCTCCTCCGCCCCACCCCACCCCAACCCACCTCGCGCGCGCCCCGCCCCCTCCGCCACGGGGTTCCAAGGGCGGTTGGCCAGCCACGGCCACGGTCACTCGGGCACTCGGAGCTGCGGGGCGCACAGGGTTGAGAGAGCCGGCTCTAGGCTTTGGGCTGGGGACTGAAGAGAAGTTTTCTAGGGAGGAGAGGACGGGGGAGTGAGGAGGTGGGAGCAGGACTCGAGAAAGCGTAGAGGGGAGGACCCGGGAAGGGAACCTGCGGGGTAGGGCCCTGGGAGGCACCGAGCCGGGCGCGGGGACGGCGGCGGCTGGGATGCACCCGGGAATACCGGGAGTTGGGGGGTGGGGGTGCGGCCCGGGGGGTGCAGGTCCCCTCCGAGCGCTGCCCGCTGGCCCTGCCATGCCAAGTGTGCGCGGGGGTCCGGCAGGGGCCAGCGCAGCCCGCGAGCCGGGCGGGGGTGCCGGCTGGGTCCGGGGCGTCGTCCGGGGCCCCGCGCCCAGGTCCTTGCGCCCAGGCACCGTCGGGCACAGCCCGGGGCGGGGCGGGGGGGGGAGACGTGGCCCGGACCCCGAGGCCCGCCGGCTCGGGGCCACGGCGTTGGCGCTGCCGACCGTCCGGGAGCTGCAGCCCGCGGGCGCCCGGTGCTCGGTTTGTAGGCAGTGTAATTAGCTGATTGTACTCTGGTGCTTACAATCACTAACTACACTGCCATCAAAACAAGGCACAGAATCACCCGCCGCCCCGCGGGCAGGAGGACGCCACCCTCGGCGGCAAACGGCCAACCCCGAGCGTTGGGAGAAAGCTGCGCTTCGAGATTTGATGCGTCAGCATTTGCTGGGCACAGTGCTGCCCGCCCAGCACGTTGTCAACCTGCGAGGACACTCCAGCAAACTAGCCGGACGGCTGCTGCTAGACGCAGTTAAACTGTTAGCTACCCCGAGGAGTAAAAGCAAGATTGGTCAATCCGCCTGCAAGGAGAGCCTGCAAGGAGAGCATGGACATGTGTAAAGTTTAATGGCTTTAATTGTGAGCTGTAATGACATTTAGACTTTGGGGAGGAGCCCCCCCATGTAACGTTTAATTCTGTATACTGTGATTCATTCTGCCTCTCGTTCATTATTTAGTAAGGTATTCACCAACCCACCAACTAAAGTGAGCTACAATTGAACCGATGAACCAATATGATTTGTCTATCACAACGTATGGGGCACCAACTTGGGACTGCAGTGCATGATGGAAGTAAACCTTTTTTTTCTGTGAGTCTAGTTACTAGGCAGTGTAGTTAGCTGATTGCTAATAGTACCAATCACTAACCACACGGCCAGGTAAAAAGATTTGGGAATCATCCAAATGAGCTGTCTGTGCACAATGGTGTGTTTGGGGAAAGGTGGGGTTTGGAAATGCTCCAGTATTACCCATTGCCTATTAATAGCTTATCCAAGAGAAAAATCAGTATTTTACTAGCTAAATACACAATGTAAAATTCATATGTCTTTATTTATCAATTTCCTTCAGGCTCTTAACCAAAAAAAATTTAGATATATAATAGGATTTTTTCCTTCACTGATCTGTCATTGTATAGACTTGTGATTATCAACTTTTGAACTGTCTGTGAGACTGTATTAGTATTTTGAAAGAATAAAGTGCCATAAGGTCATAAGTTGTGGTTATTACCTTTCCTAAGTTGGCTTTATGATGTCCATCTCAATTCCTGCCACACTAATTACAACTTTGCTATGACTGAAATGGTTAGATTGTTCCTAGATTAATGAAATCTCCCAGGAAAGTTATTTATTCACACTTATTAATATTTTTATAAAAATACATTAACATTTTTCATAATTTATTTTTCGGGAAGGGACTGAGTCCACACATCAGATATAATCCTTCTTTTAAGTGATCGTTTAGGACTGTTGCAGTGCAGGCAGCTTTTAGTGCAACTGATTTGTAAAGGCACTTACAATCTAAATCCAGTTTCTTCCACGAGATTTCCCTTAAAGGATTGGGCAGAGGGGGATATATAACAAGAACTTTATACACAGGTACTTCTCAGCCCAGTTCAGCGCTCTGGCTCCCATGGGCTAGGATGTTAGCTGCCCTATTGAATTCTCCAACCACTATCCACATAGGGCTGGCCGAACTGTGGCAATCTGGTGTGGAAGGAGAGGTGGGTTGGGGTGGTAGGGCTAAGAGTTGGAAAGCTTTATTTAGATTTTTGGGTATATTTGGAGGGAAGGAAACTGGGACGGGGGTGGGGGGGGGTTGAAGGCTGACTGAGGTCCTGGTGAGAGAACTCAAGCGCTGCCCTACTGACTCCCAGCAGGACAAGAACCACCCCAAACCTGATGTTTTGACTCCTCCTATCTGGTTGCCAAGGCTTAGACTGGTCCTGAAGCCTGTGATACCGCAGAAGTGGGCTTCAGATCGTCCACAGGCACGCGCTGGACCCCAGCATCTCTTCAGGAATCAAAGGGTTTCTGGCGGTGGTGGTTGCCAACTTGACGGTTCTCCGCAGGGCGGGGCTGGGAGAAGAGAGAGGGAACTCAGAGAAGCGTCCTGAGTTGCCATGGAAACAAGGGCCAGCGGAAGGCTTCCCAGCCACAAGGAGTCCGTTGAAATTTGCCCCCAGGGATTACTGGTGTTCACCGGAACTTCGGAACAGGACTCCAACTTGGCCAAGCAGTTCTGGATCGCAGCGTCGATGTACCCTACTAACGAATCTCAGTTGGTGCTCTCCCGAGGTAGCAGTCAGCGCCTGCCGGTGGCCCAACCCTCTAGGCGCAGTCCGCCTGGTGAGTAGCAGCCTTGGGCCACTGGTTTCTGCCTCCATCATCAGTAACCAACCTGGAAGATACCAGAGCCACTGTCACAAGTAACCGCCGAACCTATTTCTTAAAATAAGAATCTTTCATTTCAAATGTCTGAAAACCCTATACAGTTTGTTTAACTTCTCAGCAGTCCTTCCACCCGGAAAGCATCAGTGCTATATTTGTTACATCTAAAACCACATCTGAAAGTATCCCTTAGGTTACGGCATCTGTTTGGCTAAACAGTATAGAATAATCTGGGGGAAATATTATATGTTGACTGAAAGGATGTTAAGGGTGGTTGTTTACATAATCAAGTTCAAACATGAAAGCCTCAGAGAAAGTTGAAAGCAGAATCAGTATTAGGAACCAAGTTCCCAGACCTGTAAAACCTTAGTAAGCCAAAGATAAGGAAACTGTTATTATGCAATTTTTATAGGTACAGAAAGCTTAAATACCGCACCTTTTTTTTAGAAAGCTTAAATATCTTTAATGCTATGGTCTTTCCAATAATTTCTTCACTTCCCTTTTGTATTTTTTAGAGAAAATTTACTTCCAGCCTTTTAGCCTTGAGAAAAATAGTAAGTACCAAGTCTTAGGCATTTCAACATCCTGATTCCTAGATCCTTCAGAAAATAGGTAATAAGTATAAGGAGACATCTTTACACTTTGGCATAACTCTCTGAATTGCATACCAAAGCCCTGTCTCAGAGAACATCCCACCTATCTGGAGGAGAATGTCTAAATCCCCCTAACACGTTGAATAGAAATGCAGAAATTGGAAACTCTTTTACTGCAAAGATGTTCTCTTCAGAGACCTTTTCTTGTCGCTGGACTCAGGCTTACTCCTCTTCTAAAGAGATTAGCGGTTCCCTTCGGCCATAGCTAATTAGTTCAGTCTCCAATTATTTATGAATCGGTTTGTAAAGTTTCAGGACAGTATATATTTGTGTTTACCTTCCTATTCTGTTACTTTTTAACATTTATCCAAGTTTATATCAACATTATTATAAAATCATGATAAAATTATTTCAGGTTGAATTTGACTTTATTTCCTTTAGAGACTACTGATATCACCGCTGAAACCATAAAGATTCAGGCATCTGAGGAGAAAAAAAAGTATCTCCAAAAGGTAGGCCAGTATTTCAGAAGGTCATCTGATTTTCATTAGAAATTCATTATTATTTTCTAAATAATCCCAGTTATCCTTTTTAAACACATATATGTAAAATTTTTCTACTTCTGGTACATCAGCTTGAGCAATTAGAGAACCTTTACTGGAATTTTTTTTAAAGATTTTACTTATTTATTTGACAGAGAGAGAGACACAGCGAGAGAGGGAACACAGGCAGGGGGAGGGTCAGAGGGAGAAGCAGGCTCCCCGCAGAGCAGGGAGCCCGATGCGGGGCTCGATCCCAGGACCCTGGGATCATGACCTGAGCCGAAGGTAGATGCCCAATGACTGAGCCACCCAGGCGCCCCCCTTTATTGGAATTTTAACTGAAGATTAAATAATTATATAGATTATTATATATATAATAGATTTAAAAATTCTATTAAATTTTGGCTATTCTCAGTCCCTGCAAAAGCCCAAGGGTATATAGGAATGAGAGAATCAGAGGGAAATGGGGGAAAATGGATTCACACACCTTCCATCCAATAAAGCCCTAAACCATATAGAATGTTCTAAGAATGTTGTAATAACTGGAAAAATCAAATAGAATTGACCATTTTAATAGGTCAAAATCAACTGACCCGAGGAATGAGTCTGTCATCTAGAACCCTTTTGACTAAAGACTGAAATTGAACAAATTAGCATAGTTACATCAACTGAACACATCTCTTTCTGACAACGTCTCTTCTTTGCTTTTCATGATGCAGGCACAGACTTAAACTCCGCAGTTAATACAGTGATTTATAGGAATATTTTGTTTGGTTAATGGATAAGTTCCATTCCTGTAACTGTTCCTGTACCATAAAAGCAAAGACAGAAGATTCACTTGGACCTAATGTCTTTAATCATTGCATATACTGGCAAACTCTGAAAGACTTATCGGGAATTCTACATAGATTATAGAATAATGCATTTGTGTTTGCCGCTCACATTAATTCACTCTATAGACTATTGGTGATTCCTCCAAACAAATGAGGTGATTATAAATAGTCAGCATTTTCTTCATTCTTGAGGATATTGGGCACAATGTGTTTGTACCAGGACTTAATGGGCAGATGGAGCCTAATTTTTAGTAATGTAAAAATCATTAAATTCAACTTCCTCAGCACTTTTTAATTTTATTTTTGGAACACATTAGAAATAAAGACTAAAGACAAACTATTGTCAATTCTTATCATGTTTTGTCAAACAATTAAGATGATGTGAGTTACAAGTGGATGTTCTGCTAATGAGCTATTATATCAGTAGTCTTAGAACTGGCTTCCTTGCCTCGGGTTCTTCTATAGTAATTACTTAATTCTATAGATATTGATTGAGAAGTACCAAGTGCTAAGTACCATACTAGACGCTGGGAATACAAAGGTAACATGTGGTCCTTGATTTCAAGGAGTTTATAGTCTGGTGGGAGAGACAGGCAATTAAAGTCAAGAATTATGATACATTATTACAATAGATGTATATGCACATAATACTATGGGAACACATTGAAGAACATCAAAATGAAACTTAAGGAATCAAGAAATCTTCCCAAAGGAGCTGAGTTTCAAAGAATATATAGAGTTGACCAAAGACTATGCAAAGCAGTCCTCCACAGTGCACTAGTTAACTTCTTAAAACCCAAGTCCAATTATGCTTCTCTCCTTCTGTATTAGGGTGCTAGGGCTGCAGTTACAAAATATTACAGCCTGAGTGGCATAAACAACAGAATTTTACCTTCTCCCAGTTCCGGAGGCTGTGAGTATGAGATCAAGACACCATCATAGTTGGTTTCTGATGAAACCTCTCTTCCTGGCCTGTGGATGGCCAACTCCTCACTCGGTCCTCACATGGCACAGGGAGAGAACTCTGGTGTCTCTTCCTCTTCTTATAAAGACACAAGTCCTATCAATAGAGCCCCACCTTTATGACCTCAGTCAACTCTAATTACCCCCCTCAAGGCCCTATCTCAGCATACAGTTACACATGGAGTGAGGGCTTCAACATATGAATGGCGGGGGGCACAATTCGGTCTATCCACCTACTTTCATTTTTTCCTTGGCTCTCCATTTCTGCAGGATCAAGACCAAATCCTTCAGCATGGTATTTAAGTTCCTTTCCAATCTGACCATAACCTGACTGAAATCTGCCACCCTTCTCCTTCCCCTGTACCCTTCCCCCACCCCCAGCATAGCCCACTCTGTACCCTTGGTGCTCCACCACTAGGCCAGGGTACACTCTGGATCCTCCCCATATGTGCTATCAAAGTGATGAGTGGGTAAAATAGTTTTTGCTGAACTTCAATATGCACATTATTCTGTGATAATCTGCCAAATTATACATTAAGTCAAGTGGGTCCTGCAATGCAATAAAGAAGAAGATTCTGTTTGTTGAGAGTAGAAGAAGCCCAAAAAACAGCAAGCCAGCAGGAAAGAAATAGAATGTCACCGAAGGTATGCCCTGTGAGTACGTAGGAGAGCTTAGTCAGTACTGCATAGTAGAGTGCTGTTCAGACATGCCGTGGTACAAAAGGCAAGAGAATCCTGCAATAACCGAGTGCTGTTACTAGATATCCTCAGATATTATTGTGATGTGGTATTCATAACAGCCAATTTAGTGAGTGTATACCATGTGCTATAAACTTACATATATCAACTCATATTCTCCTTAAAATCGCCTCCTGATGATTCTCCCCATTTAATCAAACCAGGCTTAAATGATTTTCCAGTTCCCACAAGTGACAAGTGGCAGAGCTGAGATTCAAAGCCTCTAGTCTAACTTCAGAGCCCATGAGACTCATTGTACTGTAATGTTTGCTGGCCATGGCACTGTTCAGGTCTGTTGCCAAATAACCTAAAATTCAAAACTGTAGTATAAATAAAACAAGTATGAGAAACACCATTTCCAGCCCTGTGAGATTATAAGCTGTTTCTTCAACCTGCATTGCACTTTCCTGTCTGTACCTGAAACGCTCTTCCCCATTTGCCTTCAAGTCCCAGCTCAAATGCCAATGTCTCTGGGCCAGGAGAAGCGACCTAGAGACTAGCAGAATGAAGAGCTTCCACTTGCGTGCCCCTCCAGCAAGTCACCTCCATCTTTCTCGTAGGATTCGTCCCGGTCTCTGGCCTGTGTTATGGGCCAGTGTGCATCTTTCTGCCTTTCCTGCCAGATTACAGGCACCATGGTGTAGTGGGCTTCAGAGACAAAGCGAGTCTGGAAGTCTAACTCTGCCACTATTTGCCTGACCTCGAACAACCTCTTTAACTCTGTGAGGTTCAGTTTCCTCAGATGTAAAAGGAGGAATGTAAAAAAAAAAACTTGACAGAGTTGATGTACGTAACGTGCAGTCCCTGGCCATAGTTTGCCTTCAACAAACGTAAATTCTCTTCTCCTCTATGAGGAGGGAGATCACTTCTTATTGCTTAAGCCCAGTGCTTTTCTGGTTATTGGAACTCAATACATATTTGTGGATTGAATAAAGAAATGCATAATTGAATGAATTAATGAGAGAACATATGCTCCATACAATGATATTTCCATTTTGTTTTGCCTTTCCCACATGTATCCATCTGGCAAATTTTTCTAGGCTGATAATTTTTGCAAGAATACTCCCCAGAGCTAATCTGTTTGCAAGTCTGCTTGAGGAGCATGTTACCACATCACTTCTCTTCTCAGTTTTGCTTTTATCTCTTTCATCTCTATGCGGTGAGAGGAACTGTGACTCCCTGTAATTATGAAAATGTAGAGTCAATTTTTGGATACTACTGTTTTTCTAGGTCTGTAGCACTCTACCTACCCTGATGCCGTCACCATTCTAGAATTTTTAGCTTGATGGCAGAAAATAAGTGGCAGTGGGAGGTTCTTTTTAGCTAATAAAAAATGTGCAATGCTCTATTCAATTTCAGAGAATCTTCTACATACTTTGAGCACAGACATTGATAATACCTAGTATGATTTTCATCTTAAAATGGGAAAAAGTATTTCCCATCAATTCTCCTAAAGGTTTTTCTTCTACTTTTTCTTTGATGAAAAATCTAAAAATTTCTTTTCCATGTCTTAAAAGTACCTTCATAAAAGCTTTTTCTCCCAATTGATACTGATTTTTTTGGTTGTTGAACTTTTTTTTAAACTGTAATGTTATCCTCCATTTTGGAATATATTCCAGGTATACATTATAAATGCTTTTGGTTAGTGGACAAAATGCTATTAATCACAACTACTATTTGTTTGATGGCAGAAAATCAAAAACAGTGGAGTCTGTCAAGATTAAATGGCTTGTTCTGTCTATAAAGGAAACCTTATAGCACTGTACTAGACTATTATCCTTCCTTTGAGAGTTCTAAAGTAGCCTGAAAACATTATAATAAATGAATAGTCAGCTAATTTTTTGAAATCATAAAACTAATTTGCTTTTTAGTTTTACCACCTTTAAGAAAGCTCTTTAGCTGATTATCTCTTTATGAAAAGAATTATAAATAATTCATTTGCTGGGAGAAGGAAGAGATCAGAGCAGTATTTTAAGGCATATATATAGATGGCATATTGGAAATATTCATCTGGAATCAAAGTTCTGACATGCGTGCATACAGACTAAAGATTTTTACAAGAAATTATGCAATCTACAGAACAACATTCCTGATATACTCTTTATTGGGAATGGGATTTTAATGCATCCTATCACACAACCTGGGCAACCAAGATTGACCATGGTGTAAGTCTTCCTCAAAAGTGAGCTTGTATATGGCACTTCCGTGACCCAGAAGCAAATCATGCTATGAGAAGATGCTTGAAGGAGAATCTAAGAAGCTTCGCAATACTTTCAGTTACTGAATTATGAAACAAAATGAAAGCAGAAAACTTTAATGTTATCCTCCATTATCCTACACTTTCAAAGTAATAAGAGGGATACTTAGACTCATTATAAGTCAGGTTCATAGAGCCAAACCAAAGATGTAGGAAATTTCCTCGCTGTCATTGCCAGG